CACGGAAGTGACTCTCTGTGCGGTTTTTATTCTGGGTGTGGGGTTAGTAGAGTAATGCGGTATGCATATTGTGTCACCTGGTGATCGACACTGTGAAAAAAAAATCAGTCAAGAAAGTGGGGTTGGGGTAAGGAGGGCTAGAGGTCGGGGTGGGCTTAATTAATTGGGTTGTTGGAGGTCACCACAGGTCTCCCCGAAAAGGGGATATTTCAGTAAAGAATGTATTATTCTCTTCTCTCTGCTATTCAGGAAAAGAAACATTCCAGGCAGAAGTCACAGCCAGTGCAAAGGTCCTGAGGCAGAGGTGTGCCTGCTTGCTTGGCAGAAGAGAAAGTGGCCAAAGTGACTAGCAGAGTGAGCCAGGAGGAAGGTGCTAGAAAATGGGGTCAGGGAGACATTCAGGGTGGGGCATGGCAAGATCATGTGACCCTGGGTGTGACTGCAGTGAGGACTATGTTTTTGTTTTTGTTTTTTTTTGGTACCGGGATCAAATTTGGGTCCTTGGCACTTGCAAGGCAGGTGGTGGGACCGCTGAGCTAAATCCCCAGCCGTGAGGACTGTGTTTTTTACTCTGGGTGAGACTGGAGTCATGAGGAGCTTTAGACACAGGAGGGTTGGAGTCCCCAACTTCTCATGTTAAATCTCATCCAGTCTGATGCAGCAGTGCAGTTATTATCCCCATGGTGTGTAACACACGGCCCTGTGAGCCCCAGGACCTGCACTTCTCCATTCGTATGGCAGCAGTTGGTTTAGATCAGCCTGTTAAGGCTTCCAGTTCAACTTGATGTGTTTTCAAAATTGGGTCAGTTTGACATGTTTTCTTTGAAAAAGGATCCACCGATTTTAACACATTGTCAGAGGGCCTGGGAGGAACAGGCACACTGTATGTGGCAGCTGGGCTTGCGAGAGCAACGGGTTGAGAACCACCTCAGTGTTCACTAAAGGAGAATGGCTGAGCTGTGGATCTCCCTGTGATCTGGGCAGTCGGGGCAGCCCTTTGACCCTCAGGAAGTTGTCCTAACGACGACGCACCCAGCCGTGAGGACTGATGTATGGACGGGAAGACCGGCTAGTTGGAAAAGACCCATATGTCCACCTGGGCATTGCTTGGGAAAGCAATGTTCCAGCCCAGGGAGCTGTAAAGGGAAATTGGGAATAGTGGGGTGGTCCACCACCTGCAATGCCCGCTGCTCTACTCGTGCGGCTAAGACGGGAGGATGGCAAGTTCAAGGCTAGCCTGGGCAACTTAGTGAGAACTTGTCTCAAAATAAAATAAAAAGGGTTGTGGATATGGTCAGTTGCAGGGTGCCCCTGGATTCAACCCCTAGCACTGCGATCACTGTCATGATCAGCATCGTAATGGGAAGAGTGGGTGAGAAAATTGTTATTCAGGTGCATTATGTGGGAATGAAACAAGTTTCAGGAGCTGTATGCCTAGACCACCACCACTTGTATTTAAAAGAAGAGAGATAGTGCGTGCCTAGAATCTTAGCATCTTAGCATTCTGCAATCCCAGGCTGAAGCAGGAGGATGGCCACAAGTTTGAGGCCTGCCTAGGCTATATAGTGATACTCTGTCTTAAAAAACAAAACAAAACAAGAAAGGCTAGGAATGTAAATTCAGTGGAAAAGAGATTATGTTTGTAGTATTTGCTTATATCTCCTTAGGAAACAGCACTGTGGAGGGGAAGAAGGGAGATATTATTCTTTATTTGTGGTACCACTGAACTACATCCCCAGCTCCAAACCACTCAACTTTTTTTTTGGGGGGGTACCAGGTATCAAACTTGGGTCCTTGTGCTTGCAAGGCAAGTGGGAGGAACCACTGAGCTAAATCCTCCGTCTTTAAACTTTGTTTTTTAAATGGTAGTGGGGAGGGACTGAACCCACAGGCTAGGCAAGTGCTCTCCCGCTGAGCTCCATCCCCACCCCTTATGGTGGACTTCTTTTTGTTGTCTGTACTTCTATATCGTTTGCCTTTCTCTGATGACATATTCATAAAGATGATTAAAATGGTAACATTCATTATAGAGCATTTAGAAATATAGTTTAGCTCTAAACAAAATTAAAAATACCTTTTTTGGGGGGGTACTGGGGATTGAACTCAGGACCTTGTGCTTATCAGGCAGGGCAGTGCCACTGAGCTACGTGACAGGGCCAAAACCACTCTTCAATTACCTCCCTACACACAGAAATGCCTGGAGATACCTCCTGGCTAAGTATTTTGGTGCAGCAGGAGACCTGGATTTGGACAAGATACAAAAGTAGTTTTACACTGGGGAACAGAGATGTGTGTGGTGTGTGTGTGTGTGTGTGTGTGTGTGTGTTTATGTGTTCTTTAATGATTTCCAAGATTCCACTTGAGGTATTGATTCTGATGTTCTGATATTGCTATGATAGGCAAGTATCATCTCTTCCCAGAGGCCTGCTGTAAATGCCTCTACCCTGTCCCATTCACTTCCATTTATCATGAGGTGAAATTATTGTATTTATTTGGGGAAATATTTATTTATTTATTTATTGGTACTGGGGATCGAACTTGGGACCTTGCTCTTGTAAAGCAGGTGGCAGAACCACTGAGCTAAATCCCCGGCCCAAGGAGGAAATATTATTTAGTTCATGGGCATATGGTTTCTGGAGTGTACAAACCAAGCAAGAATAACAATTCCAATTAAAGATCAAGCAATGCAGTAAAAATTCAGAACACACTAGAATACAGTAGATGCTTAATAAGTCCAAACCACGACTCAGCAAACCCCACCCCCACACCCAAAGTGTAAAATATTCCATTCTTCAGTCATTTCATCCATTCAAGCTTCATTTAATTAAGGACCTACTATGTAGCATGCTTTGGTTAAATTATGGGGAGAGAGGGATGGCTGACATTTAGGTCTCTCTCCCTTCTTAGCTTCCTTAGAGACTTTCACATGACTTCTTTTCAGGATCTTCATCTAATTCAACACGTGATGTGATTAAAGATATAGTGAATGTCCACATTTTTTAAAAATATACAGAGCTGAACATGGCGGTGCACACCTGAAATCCCAGCACTTGGGAGGCTGAGGCAGGAGGATGGCTATGAGTTAGAGGCCATCATGAGCTACATAGTGAGTTCAAAGCTAGTTTGGCGGGTGGGGATGTAGCTCAGCAGTGCCACACCTGCTTGGCAATCACAAAGTTCTGAGTTTGATTCCTGGTACCGCCCCCCCTTAAAAAAAGAAAAGCTAGTCTAGAATATGTAGCAAGACCCTGTATCAAAAATTTAAATTTTTTAAATTTTAGTAAGAGACAGCACCATTAATCCCCCTCAAAATACTCTCCCTCTCTTCAAACAGTCATTCGTTGTACTTGCTACGTTCTGAAGTTCTGCAAGTCCTTTTCGTGAGTGACTTTAGATGTGCTCTTGTGACTGCCTGGATGTCTTGAATCTATTCACAATGTTTACCTGTCAGTCACTTTGATTTTGGGGGATGAGCAAAAAGTTGCAGATCAGGTGAATAAAGTAGAGGGGGACATGGTGTCAGGTTTTTACAAGCCCGCCTTCTGTTAGATGACACTTGGCGGCTGCATTCACTGTATTTTTGATCACACCTTGTGCAGACAGACACTCAAGAAAGAGGGCTTCCGGAAGTGCTTCAGAAAGTGGCAAAACAGTAGGATGTGCTCAAAGCCAAGGGGAGAGTTCTGAGGAGCACTCATGGCAATGTGTTTTCTTACTGTAATTAATCTCTTTTAAAGATTTAAGTATTGGCTGCATATTTAGATCACATTGGGTAACTGTGATCATGATGGTGATGATGTGGTCGCTAAGATCTCCGGCTCTATCCAGCGGTGAAACTGGGTCCAATCCGGGCCCTGCTGTGCCCGGGCCAACAGAGTCAAGTAGGTAGATGATCTGGGGACTCAGCAACTTCCTTTGCAAAAGGGACCCAGATAGTGCCACGGAAGGGTTGTAGTGGGGACACACGGCGACAATGATGCCATGTGCCCCCCCCTGGGTTCAGCTAAAGTCCTAAAAAAAAAACGGTGATTGCTGCAGTTTCTTTTCTTCCTTCTCTTTTCTTTTTCTTCTTTAGTGTTGCTGGGGATGGAACCTGGGGCCTTCTCGGGCTAGGCAGGCTCTCGCAGAGCCTTTCCTCCTGTCCCTGCTGCTCTCCTTCTGTCCGGCAGCCCCAAGCCTGTCGCCACCTCCGCCAGACCCTCCGGACCATCAACTCGGGTCTGCACAGAGGACACCGAGGCATGGGCTGGGGCGGGGACAGCCACTGTCGCTGCCGACTCCCCATCCCGCCCTCCTTCCTGGGAAAATCCGACAGGTGGCGGGGCCGGGCTGGACCCATTGTGCAGCGATCCGGGCCAACAAGTCGGAAGATGGATGCCTTCATTACCATGAGAATCCCGGAGAAGCGCGGACCACACAGCGGCGGCAGCGGGAAGGGCCTGAGATCCTGAGAGACCCATTTACAAACACCCGGATAATGGGACTCCCGCCCCGGCTTAATTTCTTATTTTAGGCCAATTCCATTCTGTGGGGCTTGAAAGAGACACAGGCCGAGAGAAAAATTTAGAGCAAGGACTCCCCCCCACCGTTTGTAAGTTTCCCACCCATGGCGCTGTGCATGGGGACGACAGAAGGCGCCTCGCAGCGCGTGCAGTGCCACCTCCAAGGGCATCCTGGGCAAGGCCTTCTGTCCCTCCCAGTCTTCTGCTGTGTCCCGGGTAGGTCGAGGGCGACTGGCCATTATTTGCTGAGCAAATTGGGAGAAGTAGACTTGAGGCTTAAAAAAATAAAGATGTCATCAATTTGGCCAGAGCAGAAAGGAGTCTCTGGTGTTTATGAAGGAGGCAGGTAGTAGAGAAAGCACAGTAATAAAATAACTGACAAAACCTCACTACCTCACTACATATCCCTGTTTCACAGATGGTGAAGCTGAGACTTTGAGTCAGCTGACTGAAGCCACACAGCAAGAGAATGGCAGAGCCAACCTCCGTTTTCTATGGAGATTTTATATGACACTAGAAGATCCTACTGCTCAGAAAGTCTGAGAGACACCAGCACCAGGGAGCAACCCAGGCAGAAAGGAGAAGTAAGGACTGCAAAAACCAGACCTGTCAGCCTGGTGTGATGGCACATGCTGTAATCCAGCACTCTGGGAGGCTGAAACAGGAGGAGTCAAAGTTGGGCAGTTTAGTGACTTAGTGAGACCTTGTCTCAAAAATAAACAAAGGGCTGGGAATGTAGCTCAGTGTGAATACTCTGGGTTTGATTCACAGAACACTCTCACAGTCCATCAGTCTGTCCCCCCACCCCCGTCGAGCTGTGTAGTTCAAACTGGCCTTGAACTGTGTAGCTCAGGCTGGCCTGGAATCTGGAACTCATACCCTTCCTCCTGCCTTAGCCTCTTCAGTGCTGGGATTACAGGCATGGGCCACCATACCTGATTCTTTTTCATACACACTAATGTAGGCATCTGTTTGCATGTTGTCACAGATAAACACACCAATATAGAGACAAGTACATATGCATGAGGCAGGGTGTGGTGGTACACATCTGTAATTTCAGTACTCAAAAGGCTGAGGCAGGAGGATTGCCCAGAGTTCAAGGCCAGCCTGGGCTACATAGCAAGACCCTGTCTCAAAAACAAACACCTCCCCCTTGCAAAAAAAAAATAAAAAAGGAAACCAAACAACAACAACCACAAATCTCGAGATACATACATATGCATTCTGTTAAATAAAATGTACAGGAGGTCATGGGTTTGGACCAAACCAAAATGGAGTCACACATGCTGTCGACCACACCAGCATGCCCAAACCAAGTTGTTTATCAGCTTTCCAAGAAGTCAGGGAAGAAAGGAATAAAAGCCAAACCCATGAACAAGCCAGTTATGCTGGTGTGATTAGAAAGTCCCCTTGGCTTTAACCTTTATGACAGAAAGTAACTCGAACACATACAGCCTGTGTTTTGTTCTGCCTTCATGGCCTTTCTCTGCCTGTGAAGTCAGACTCCCCTGCTCTGCTCATGGGAACACTGTATTTTACAGAATGAGGCTCTGCCTGATTCTAGAATCACAAATAAAAGCCAATAATTAGCTTAGTGGTCTGGCTGCCTGCCTTGCAAGCACAAGGACCCCAGTTCGATCCCCCCCAAAAGCCAATAAAAATCTTTAAATAAAATTGTTGTAATTTTCTTTTTTGACAGTTCACCAACACAACCAAGTAGAAACACATGTACAGTACTGTGCAACCTAAGATTTCAGCACCCTCACACTTGTGCAAGCCCACACTTGCATAGATTCTCACAACACACACACACCCCTAATCATATAGAGAACCCACCAAGTGGAGAGATTCTAGGACCAACTCCCCACTCATCTGTGACACCCGTGTCTCCACCCCTCCCGTCTTCAGAATCCCAACAGGTCTTTGGACAGCCTTAGAGGGAGGCCTTTGATGCAGGGCTAGCCCCAGGGGTACAGGGCCAGGCAGCTCCTTGTCTTGAGGTGGCTGGGAGGAAGGGGATGGTTAAGGCCTCACCTTATAGGCAAGGGTCTTCACATGCAGATACTCAATTGTCCCACAGGCTCTGCCTCGAAGTGACAGAGGTTAGATGCTGTGTAGGTGTTCCGTGGGATGGCAACAAGTAACGGAAACGAGAGGGAAAAGCTTAACTGCAGAAGCAAAACAGGTGTCAAGACAATACGCCCTGTAGATCCGATTTTGGGTTTAAAAAAAATACATGATAAGCACAGCAGGGATGAGGATGCAAAGCAGCATGGGCCAGGCCTTGGGTTCCATCCCCAGCACATCAAAAATCAAACCAAACCTAAGCAAACAGTATAATCAGCATATAAAAATGAAGTATGTCACGGTGTTAGCAGTGATTTCTGGGTGGCAAAAATGTGCTACTGTATCCCCACCCCTACAGGGTCTCCCTGTGTAGTTCAGAGTCCAGGCTGGCCTTGAACTCACAGTGGGGGGAAAGACCCTTGATTGCTATTTAAATGGCCTTAGGCAGGTTCTTTCCATGCCTTTATTTCCTCATCTGTATAATAGAGACTTACCATGGTGGGAGAGTTGAGGGCTGAGGATGTAAAGCACGTGAACACTTGCAACGGTGTTGTATACAGTAAAGCATAATGACAGTGTCACTGGAAATCTCCTTCCATGCTGTCCTGCCCACACTGCCCAGTGTTGACCAATACCTCGGGGCTGCCTGCAGGCATGGGTCTGTATGATTGGCCTAGGCAGGTGTACCAGGTTTGGCCCTTCTCTGTGTTTAATGCTTAAAAACGGTGTCATTTGTCAGGCATGGTGTTGCTTACTGCTCACAGCCACCCACAGGCTGAAGAGGAAAAAGAAGCTCACAAGGGGCGAGCACTGGCCCCTGGATGTGGGTAATGAATGCTCCAGGCCTCGGAGTTGCCCCAGACCCTTCTAGGCGGCCTGGCTACCGCTGAGGGAGGAAAGTGGGGACCACCCTCCCGGGGAGACTGCCTGTGGCTGAGGGAGGTACAGCTGTGCCCCCACGCCCCGGTGAGAACACCGAAAAGAAGGGAGGTCACACAGTGGCAAGAGCTGAGCTACGCAGCCTCATTTTATAGGTAGGAAACTGACGCACAGAGGAGCGAAGCGACTGGGCCAAGGAAACCCAGGAGGCGCACAGCCAGAACTGCAGCTGCGGGGTCAGGGCGCCCCGCAG